ACTATGAATGATTCAACTATTGGTTCGCAGCCAACCAAGAGAGGAGAGCGGTTAGGCTTCGTGGGCAAAAAAACATGCTCACGAATAATTTTTACCGAAAATACCTTCGGCATTTATCCTATTTTCCAGAGTACACGCGTATTTTTCTGTAGAAACATAATCGGAAATCCATAGAAATCACTAGAAATCTAATCTAATCGAAATCTCTAATTTTAAATGTGAATTTTGCTCACAGATGCGCATTCCAAAGAACTATCCACTTCATAATACCTCAGTAGCTAGATGAAAGTTTTCCAGATTTGGAACTTAGGCGAAATCTATACGACAGCTGTGTTGGGCATAGGGCAAGATCAAAAGAACACATTTAAGCTCAGCAAAGCTCCTCCTTCAAGGGTGAGAGGTGCACAGAATTGGGTGATGGCATGGGCAAAACGTCTTGAATAAGTTTCTAACAGCCCAGACACCGAGAAAAAAAATAATCAAAGTAGAGGGACAGGTCAACAAATCAAGTGAAGTAGAGCCACCGATAGTGAGCGGAGCGTTCTTGTACTATAATGTGGAAGATGAGTGGTTAGANGGGGGGGGTGGGGTGGCGAGGCCAAAATCAAATATTTATGAGCCTATTCAAAAATGACCTAGAAAGCGGGAAAGAAGTGGCTGGAGGTTTCAGAGAGAGTGTGGCCGAATCCATGGAGTGGACGGGGTTAGCCAGATGGAGATGACGATGTTATGTTATGAGCAACCCCTGATGGCATGGAGTACTCCCTAACCAAGCACTATCCGAGAAAGCAAGCTGCTCTCTTTCCAGATCGGACAGTGCTCTTTGGAATTGCTTTCTATTCATTCGAAAAAGGTGGTATCCGAGTAAATTAGCGTCCTCATAAAACCAGTGAGGTTATGGTAAGACCGGAGGCCCTAGATAGGTATGTTTCCGAAGCCGACTTTTTGTATCATCCCCTGACCAAGCACTATCCGAGGAAGTCATTATTAGAATGAAACAGTTTCATTTTATATTCATCGAAAGGAAATCCCAGATTGTTTGTACCAATCTTCGCCCCTATTACATAAGAAGGAGGATGCCCGGAGTAGCCGGGCATTACAGAGAAGGAGAAGAGCCCGGTGTTAGCTGGGCGATCCGACTGGTAATTATATAAAGCGTATTTCTTACTATCCAACACTGTTTGTCTGCGAAGCAGCAACATCCGCATAACTAAAAGCAATACTTGTTGTGATAGGAGATCCGCAGAAAGCACGGTGGTCACGTCTGCAATTATTATCTTATTATGTGCGTTTTTCTTCTTTACTGTGTTCGGCATTAGCGGTCGTACACTTGGGACATGGCAAAACGGAAAGGAATCTTAGAAGGGTCATCATTCATAATTCCAGTCGATTTTAAGTTCAAGCTCTTTGGGATATCTGGAACATGATTCGGATTGCAAGTTAATAGTGATAAATATTCACAATACACCCATGCTACCTAATTTAGACTCGTGATTCAATGACTCATGACTCATGAGTCATTGATCAATTAGAAAAGGGGTTACGACTGAAAAGTACGGCTGAAGAAGCGTTTGAACGGAGGAACAACATAAAAAATGATAAAAAGCTTAACAAAGCAGAAGCAGCTGGTTCTGTAACACCTTTGATGTTAGCAGAAAGTCACGACATTTCGATATGCGAACTGGAGTGTATCGAGGTCTAACACAGTTGGTATCACAGATTAGGCACCGCGATGGACACCATTAAGTCTGATTGGACTGAATATGGTCAGTGCAAGAAACTCATAATAAGTGGTAAGGATCATAAATGAGCGTTATTTTATTAGGTTGAGTAAAAAGTTTCGATCGGCTTTTCAATTTTCATTTTAAAAAGCCTTATTTCCATCAAAAGAGGATTTCAATTAGTAATATAGTCTCCATCGCTATCCTCAATATACGTCTAGTGATCCGCAGTCTCTTGACTCCTGAAGCCCAGAACGGTGGCGGCCGTGATTCAGTAAAGCTGGAGATCTTATTTTTGAGTTCCGACCAATCATCTAAAATTTCTATCGCGAAGCTGATGTTTCAGAGCAAGAAACAAATGGTAATCAGATGGAGCGAGACCTGGCGAATAAGTGGAATGGGGCAGCACTGCCCATTCAAGTTCGGCAATTTACTGACAAAACAATTTCGCAACATGGGGTTGAGCGCTGTCGTGAAAAAGGCAAACATTTTCACGCTGCGGACGCTTCCTTCGAACAACGTCGGCCAAGCTCTGTATCTGAGAAGCATAAATCCCGGTGGTCACGGTGGAACCCTCAGAAAGTTATCCAAAGTAGAGCATTCCCTGAGAACGTCCACCGACGACACAGTAAGACCTTCCTCGGTCATAGTCCACTTCTCTGTTTGTCTTGAAGATGTTTCGTCATGTGGCACCCGTGGGCTGAGATACAATAACTCTTCTGGATGCACCACAGATATTCGCGACAGCCGTCGGTGGAATATGCCCTTACAGTAATTCGTGATAGACGATAGCTCTCAGACAGCTTCGGACGAGAATTGAAGGTTGCAGTCATTTTTGCAAAGCACTTACAAGGGAATGCTTATATGTCCCCCTAAAAATACAGGTTAGGGATTGGTCTACCATAACCCATTACGAAGTCCTTCCGAGTGGTCCTACGAAAAAAGCTAGAAAGCGACGAAAAGTCGATCAAAACTTTTTACTCAACCTAATACTATATATTACGCCCTCGTTGTGTCTGTCGGTATGTGTCGTAGTATGTGTTTGTTGAGGAGTGTGTGTCCGACCTGGAACTCATGACTCGTGTTCCTTTGGACTCAGAATGTCCAACTTTGCTAGGGATCTGGACGGCAGTACAGGAAGGCTGATGGTAGGTGTCACAACCGGACTCCGCGCACAGGAGGCGGCGCGTGCGCAAAAATTGTCGATTTGCACCTGGAGCATTCAAACTTAGTATAAGTATAGGTAGCTTCAATTGTGATCATGGCAGGAGGTAGAAAGTGGCTGAACTGGATCACGGTGGCTCAAGGGGATGGAGAACCCGGAGCGTACGTGAAATAAGCGTAATCTCAGTGAAAACACGCAGTCAAGCTGGAATAAGTGGGTAATGAACCACGTTACTTAAACTGACATACAAGACCTCGCTCATGGCTGGCGGGATGCGCACGAAGTGTGTTAGTGTCTGTTCATGTGTTTCGTTGTTAACTGATGAGCTAATATTTCACAATGCTTTGCCGGACAGGTTTCTTATCATGGAACCGTTTATTAGGTCGACATTTCGACTAACTCGTCGTCTTCAGGGACCTGAAAGTAGTTCGAAGCTCTTGGTCTGTGGCTTACCTCACCAAGCGTCCAAACGCACTGGGCCAGTTGCAATTAACTCCAGAAACTCGAACACCAAAACATCCCTGCCAAGAAACCAACCTCCTGCGGTTCCATCAGCGTTCTCGACCCCCTCTACTTCTTGTACGACAAGGGATTAATGAGACACCATTGGCGCTCGCGAGATAAGGATAACGCGGTGATTTCAAAGCTCACAAAAGGGCATAAACGGCAGAAATCCACTCGTTACGGCAATGCACTCGTTCCGATTGTTCAGCTTAGGATTCATCTCGTACAATGTACAACGCTTCCAACATCTTTCTAGCACCGATCTTATTCTCGTAGGCCAGGATTTTGCGCTTGATATCAAAATCTTTGTTTGATGCTCTTCTAGTCAATGCCTACCAAGTGGCATGAGTAAGCTTCTTCGCCTTTTACCTGCTAGATGTTCTTTGACGCGTATGCCCAGCATCCTTCCCGTCTCACCAATATATATATATATATATATATATATATATACCAGTCGGATCGCTGGCTAACGCCAGGCTCTCCTCCTTCTTGTGTGTGTGTCAAACAACCTATCTCGATAAATTCGCTAGGCTAACGACGGGCTACCCTCCTACAGAATTGTAGTAATCGGCTAGCCTTCCACTCCTTTTTTTAAAACAAGTAATGGACACAAGACTAACAGGGAGGTGCAAATGGTATTCAGTGAAAGTCGATGCTTACGCCCTTGATTGGCAGTGTCGATCCTCTGCTCTTTTTCTCGAAAAGAAGTAGTCATCAAAAAGTCAACTGTTAGACAACCAAAGTTGATGCTGAGGAGATGTTCTGAGTGATGACAACAAAATTATCAGTTTTATTCATCAATGGACCCTTCTCTTTACGGAGATATCACTAGTTGAGAATTCCAGCTTACGGGCGATCTATTAAGTTTTGTCGCAAATGATATCGAGCAGAGAGGATCCTTTATTGAAACACAAAACTTGCTGGGTAGCGGTCGTAATCTAATAGCAAAAAATGAACAAAATCCTCATCTGCTTATCGTTTGGCCGTAATGGATCCCTATCACTGCACTCACCACTCGCTTTTGTCACCCTACTCTAGCATCCCGTCCTATTGAATGAAACATACTGAACGGTCAAAGATACATCGTATATACCGTAGACGTTAATATAAAAGTGTATCCTACCAAATTTTAACGCTCTAGGTCCACGGGGACAGGAGTTATGAATTTGTGGCCTAAAATTTCCATGGCTCACGCCTCGGCCACTGTGAGTGGATTCCGGTCCTACCACCAACCATAAGTGTTTCGGTCCTGCCCCCGTTTTCCTACCGATTATGTACGCTCTGGGTCCACGGGGACAGGAGTTATGAATTTCCGGTCAGACATGCACATCGACACACACACACACAAACACACCGACACACCAACAGACACACTTAGCGAATTATATAAAGTAGGACATCGTCGCAGGCTGAACACCGTCCCATGCTGTTTGCAGTCTCCATTCTTTCCGAACGGACGAATAACGCGGTTATCTGTCGCACATGCGCGACCATAGAGTCTGTTGCGGATCAGAAGACTTGATTGTCTCGTGGTACATTTATCAAGACAAAATCATGAACCACATTCCATTCGTCTACTCTCCCCGCGGACGGTTAGTTTCTTGCCAACGATGACTTCGCCGTCAAACCCTACCGGCACTAGCGATACCCGTGCAAAAACCTTCATCAAGATAGCCACAGTGAACGTCCGAGGACTATGCTCTCAACAGAGACTCGCGGATTTCGAAGCCAATGTCAAGAACGTGAGATTTGCTGTGATTGGACTGGCTGAAACTCGAAGATCAAACCGTGAGTGCACTCAACTTGGATCTAATTTGTGCTCTACAGCAGTGGACTTTGTGACGGTGCTCCCACGTATGCTGGAGTAGGGTTATATATGTCGTTACGCATGAACAAAAAGCTTGTTGGTGTACGTTTCATTATTGATCGCGTAATACAAGCCGAATTTCTTATAAAACGAAGACGTCTTAGCACTATTCAAGTGCACGCCCCGACCTCTACAGCAACAGATGACGAGTTTGAGCGATTCCTGGACGAAGAGAAGCTGTAAGGATAACTACGAAAAATAAAGCGATGCCGGAAATCATTTGTGGCGACTTTAATGCAATCATTGGACGTTCAGGAAGCAAAGAAACTGCTTGCGGGCCTTTTGGAAGTGGTAATCGACCGAGGTATTTTGCTGCTTTCGTTCTGCGACTATAGTAATCTTGCAATCGCTAGTACATTTTTCAAGAAAAGAATTAGAAGAAAATGGACCTGGAGGAGTCCAAACGGGAACACTTGCAGCGAAATAGATCATGTTCTGTTCAAGAATTTGAAGTACGTTCGTGACGTGTCGACCCTTTCCGGATGCAATGATGGGAGCCATCACCGAATGGGCGAATAACTTTGTCTATGTGCATGAAACCTGCTCACTTCCAGCAGAAGTCAAGACCTCTACCTCCGTTTTTTGACAAGCTCGAGCTTCAAGCAGCAATGGCAACGCAAACACGTCCAGCAAATGGCTTCGACATCCAAAGTTTCGTGAAGGCTGCGTGTAATTGCATAGCTGTATCACAAACACGGCAGGAAAGAGTGGAGCGAATCTTTGCTAGAGCACTGGCGCTAATGGAAGAAACAAGAAAACAGAAGTTCGTACTCACAAGTGGATCAATATCTGTTGTGCTATACACGTTACTGTGCAAACAAGTTAGATGGTCACTAACGGATGATCGCCGCAAGCACAACGACCGAGTCGTGAAAAGTGCGATAGGCAAATCGAAGATAAGGCATGCAAGACATGAGTGAACGTATGAACGTCGACAAGTACTAAACTGCGATATCCTGACGGTACCCTAACAACGACTCCACAGGAAGCCATGGCCATTGCTACTAAGTTCTATAACGACCTCCACAGATCACGTGATGGTCCCTTCGTCTTCTCAGCGATCGGCTCTTTGGGTCGTCCGATAACAGCAGAGGAGCTTCGTAATGCATGTAGGGGAATTCGTGGAAACACTGCGCCGGGAGCTGAAGGAATCCCATCTGGGGCGAGGAAGCATCTGATACATTTATGCGCGGAAGACCTTGCAATGCACTAAACCACCATTTCGAGGTCAATGAGTTTCCAGAAAGTTTCACGACGGCAGAGACGATCCTCCTCTATAAAAAAGGCGATCCATTGAATATCAGTAACTACAGACCAACCTCTCTCCTATCGACTGTCCTCAAAGTTCTAACCCGCGCACTGGCCCGTCGTGTGGAAGAAGTGGCTATGGAGCTCGTCCCTGAGGAACAAGCTGGCTTTAGACGTAACTTCTCCATTCGTGATCATATCCTGTCAGTCAACTTCTTGATGGAAAAATGTAACGAATCGAGAAAACCACTCAACATGGCCTCCAATGACTACCGGAAAGCTTTTAATACAATCGAATAAAAAACATTTGGAAGGCACTGGAGAAGTTTGGAGTGGATGACTGCACAGTTAGAATGATCAAACAAGTGTATGCAGCTGGACGATCGTTTTTGGCCTTGGGCACGATGGAGATGGAGATAGACATACAACGTGGTGTTAGACAAGGCGATTCTCTATCCCCACTTTATTTATTTTGACACTTCAGTCGTGTCTCGATGAAATCGACTGGTGCGACCGAGGCTACCCCATTGAACACGTTCGCCTTAACTATCTTGCCTACACCGACGATCTGTTTCTGTGCTCACCTACAGTCAATGGGCTACAAGCAATGCTTGATAAACTCATTGATATGACCAAGACAGCCGAACTAGAAGTGAACTCGAGCAAAACAAAATGGATGTCAAACAACCCTAATGGACAGCAGCTTAGAGCCAACGGTGGAGTTGGTGTCATCCTTCGTATATTTGGGCCAACTCTTATGTTTCCCCCAAAATCGTGGACAAGAAAATCGAAGGATCAGCGCTGCATGGGGAATCAGCAGAAAGGTCCGAGCTCTGTTGAGAAGCCGAATGACACCAATTATGACTAAACGACGCTTCTTTCACACCTGCGTGTTACCCACTCTACTGTACGGTTGTAAAACGTGGGCCTTAACCAAGGCAGCGGAAGATCGCATTAGAAAACGTCAGCGACGAATGGAGCGCCAAATGCTGAGTCTCCGTCTTCGTGACAGGTTATCAAATGCAGTACTACGAGCAAGGACTAAACTTAAGGACGCTGTCGTCGAAGCCAGAAAGCGCAAGTGGATCTATGCAAATAAATTAATGGCAAGAGACCAGACGAGATGGGAAGTAGGGCTGATGAAATAGAAGCCCTAAGGTATTAGACCAGTGGGACGATCACGTACACGATGGGAAGATGATTTCAAGATGTTCGCGGGAACAGAGTGGAAGAACATTGCAGCAACTTCTGAATGGTTCGAGATCATGACCCGTTTCCTTCATTATGTCAGATGAATAACGGAAATGAATGTAAATGTAAATGTAAATGTAAAAATCATGAACCAAATCCGCTCGTGCAGTGCACTGCCGTAATTCTGCGCTAACTTTGTTTGACATAAACGGGAAACGGAGATGCACTATATGTACATTTTCTCATGATCTAAGCGAGTACCCTTTTAGGTCTGACCTTCTCTGCTTTGTCCCGTAGCCATTCAGGTTTGCAATCCCAGATGCTAGCTTACGTGACTTCCCCTGTTCCTTGGTCTGTACTCACTCCTGTAGCTGTTCTTACATATTTCAAACTACTACACGTTTCACAGCTTCGGGGTGAGCAGACTTTGAGTGTAGTAAGATGTTCTTCGAGCTGCCGTCGTACCTTCATTTTGATATGTTTATCTGCGTGTTAAGATAAGGAACCAGCCTTCGTTCGAAACCTACCTCGTGAATTGGTATACTGCGACTGTCTCTTAAGGATGCCAAACAGTTCGCCCATGCTACGTTGGTGTCTCTCGCAGCAGTCATCGATGTAACTTCAGTACATAATGTGCATGCGTGCTATAACTGGCCTTTCTATTCTGCTCATAAAACAGATATCTAAGACAGGTGCCACCCACGGATACATAGCAACTTCTGAAAGAAGTACGGCCCGCTCCACTTGAAAATATTACAGCTTAGGCTTTCCTTGATCTGAGTTATAATGTGAACCTTACTCAATCCGAACGTAACAATTTCTGTCTCATATTCGTCAAGCATTTCGGAAGCTGCTTGGAGAGCTTCATTGTTGTTCACGCTCGCAAACGTGCAGTTATTCAAATGTTTCTACTACTATTTCTTGAAGTCTAACGCAGGCGATCGAGGAAATCGTTAGTGTTTGGCAGATGTGAAGGTGCGTATCGAAGTAGTTGGCCAACAATTTAAAGGCACCGTTCACAAAAAAGTTAGGGTACCCTTTTTTGACGGAGATTGATGGAACTACTCTAGAATAAAGCGATAACAACGAAAAAAGCGCAAAAAACGATGAACAAAAAGAAATAGAAAGGGTCAAAAAAAAGAGCTGGAAAGGGGGTTGGACTAGAGTCACATTGAAATAACGGGGGTTAGGAAGTGTTCGGGCGAGAATACACGGAGGCGACGCAATGTCTGCAATACAGACAACACACCCAAGCAGCTGGTCGGATTTCTCCCTGCCATTATTATCTCCCTGAAATACTTACCTCATTCATTCGACGACGGCAGGCAGGGAATACTTAGAAGAGAATAGCGCAGAATAATAGTAGAATAATAGAAATAACAGCTGAATACTAGCTCCTGTACGAGGCGGTCGACCAGCTGACCATTCCTGGCAATTGATCAGCGTATCGATTTTTCACCAACTTCGCTCCAGTGCGAATGTGGTGAAGAACAATTTGAACTCGTAGTCAGCCTAGCGAGGGGCGGAGGCCTGACGTCCCCCACTGTTCCTGCCCTTATTGTGCCCTATCCAGCCGTTTTCCGACCTAATTCCTGTACAAATGGTATCAGAGGGGGCTTCGAATTCAAACCATGTGCAAATCTCCGAAACCATTTTTTCGTGAACAGTGCCCTTAATTGAGGAACAACGGAATACAGTCCGTTGGTCCACCTTCACAGCTGATGATGGGTCTTATTTTGTAATCGCTAGCAAAAACTGGGCTTTCATCTCAGTCGGACGGCTTATGAGTCTCGACCAGGCTATAGAAAATCGGACACAAGGGTGTATCCAACTTCAATCTGCTAATCAGCCCTCTAACCAACTTTGCCATCTTTCGAATTGATACCCATAACGCATCCAGGCTGTGACATCGGGTGAGGAACGTCTTTACCGTGGAGTGACTGTACACAGAAGTATCACTAAGGTGGAGTTCTGTGATTTCCAGATACAGCGAAGGAGATAGAACCACCAACTTTCCTCCCTTATCACTCACGAAAAAAACGAAGTTCCCGTGCCTTCTGAAAATTTCAAGTAATCCTGATGAAAGTACTCGAAATTTTCTGTCTTGTTCTGGTTCTGGTTCTTAATGAACGGACATAGGAATGGACTAAGCGGCAGCATGGATTCTGTGCTAGCGCGGTAGAGCTCTTTGCGCATTGCACTCCTTTTAAGCTGACCTCTCAGTCGATGAAGCCCTAATACCACCTGGCGGTACGTGGAAGGTCCAATCCATTAAACAATTGAAAACGATGGCCCAAGGCTGAGGAGACCTGCAGCTTTCTCCGATATAAATGTACCGCTAATAACCGTGTCTCTTGCCTGATCTAACGCAGTGTTCACTCCTTGAGTGGTCATTATTTCGCACTGGTGACTCGTAGAAGACTTGGTCCCATTGCAGGAATCATTTCTGTGTTGCTCGCTCCTCAGGGTGTTGTACTTGGCACATAAAGTTGCTTTTGCATCAGATCGGATAGAGTCACAGACCTCTTTCGAACCACGCTCAATAGCTTTCCAACGATGAGCTGACAGGAGCCGTCTACAAGATTCCCCTTAGCATGACATTTCAGTAAAGTAGAATACAATGGGTAGTGCTTTTGTTCAATAGTAACACCCAGAATATAATCCTATCTTCTTATTTGTGATGAATCTTGGGAAGAGGTCGGTCGACTTGCGTCGCTGAAGAAACAGCACACGATTGGCGGGTAGATACGATTTTTTGAGGGAGAGCAAGGCTTCTCAAACTAGACCAAATATATGCGGCGGAGCATGGTTAAATTTTATGTGACATGCCCGAACTTTAAGAAGACCTAACATGGAAATTGATAAGCTGTTTTCTTTTACCTTTCGCTCCAAATTTGGAAAGTGTAGGCGGCTGGTCTACAGGTGGGCCAAAATTATGATTACAGCGCACGCTGACGTTCATTGCAAATTTTTTCCATGTTCATAACAATTCATTGAATTTCTTCCATTTCACAAAGTAGCTTACGTTATTACCTTTCTAACGATACTAAACTTTGAGTAGATTTTTAACATAATATAAGCGTAACTAGTCCGTGAACTAAGCGTCGCTTTGCATTTACAAACACTTTTGGCACGGTGCCTCTACAGACGAACTAGCGAAATAAGGCAGGTATTGCATTCAACCATAAGACGCTCTCGAGAGTTGGGAACAATTGCAGATAGGAGTTGTGAACCTAGGAGAGCTGTGGTTATATTTAGGGGAAGTGTTAAGGAAGCAGGGCAAAGTCTACGTAGCAGCAAAATTCGTTCTTAGTCCAAAAAAGCTAAATGAATGGATATGTCAAGAAATTTTCTGCGTGAGATCGTGAAGCATCTCCTGCACAACGAGACCGTTATACGATCAGAAACTGATTTCCCCAGAGAGCAGGTTAAAGAAAAGAGAAAGGTTGGCTAACAAAAGCTGCCTGTCGCATCCGAAAAAATTGTCCTACGGAATTCCTGTTCACCAAAGAGAAAAGATTCACAGTGAAATAGGTGCTCAATAAGTAGAGCGATAACATTTATATGAAGCCTAAAGAAATGAAAGTGATACAGCGCCTGGCTCACTAACTTTCTGTGATGGCGTGTACCAGCATCACCGCCGGGGCAAAGACACCGATTATTCTTGTAAATTATGGAGTGGAAGTTGGTTTGGAGGCCTGTTTGTTAGCAATAGGACACTTTGATGATTCGAACCGGTTATATTGTCACGATGAAGCTCCTTACCGCAGAACAGAAATTGTCTAGAAATTTCGTGAAAGGGGTTCTTTGACTTCATAACCTTCGATCAGTGACCACTCTGTAGCCCTGACCTAAATCCCATAAATGACTCAATGTGGTCAGCCTCTGAGATGAAAGCATCCTTTAGCCCAAACAAGAGAAGAAATAATCTCGAAAATGCTTAGCAAAAAGCTGGGACCAACTCGATGACCCTAGCTGCGTGCCACCGTCAATGCCGTCCATCGTCGTCTTTGGGGTTGGGTGAAAGCAGAAAGCAACAGATCCCAGTCTCAATGTACAGTTCTGATAAGAAATTTTCGCTAAACCCTTTAATGAAATTGGTTCGCTCTATTGGCTTTCTATTCGCTTTCTGCGATGTGATTTCTGTGTAATCATAATTTTGGCCCATCCTGTACTTTAACACGTAAAAGAAAAGAGGGAGAGAGAAGAGGATCCACCTGGTTGACTAAAAGCTGCTAGACCACTCTCTTACTTCCTTTTTACCATGCTGTAGTGAGTGGTGTAGAAAGAGTGAAGATAACAGTTGATATGAAAGGATAGAAACTGATAAATATCATTCAACGACAATCTCTCTTATTTATAAAACCAGTTGGGCTACGCACGCTAATGCGTGCACCACATGCCCACTACCGCTTACTTGTTAGAGGGCCAATATGAATGAACAGTATCGATGTACTTCCCATTTCATGACTGCTTCCTCACCGCGCTCCCGTGACATTCACAATCTTCGACGNACCCCCCCCCCCCCCCCCCCCCCCCCCCCCCCCAGTGGGCGGAATCCGGTCCTACTACCCATCATAAGTGTTCGCATACTGTCGCCAGTCTTCCTACCAAGTATGAGCGTTTTGGAGCCGATTCGTGCACACCTATGGGAGGGGTCCGGTCCTCTCACCTACC